ACTTTGGTGTTCTGCAACTTCCTGTCTATCCAACTGTAAGCATCTACCAGAAGGTGCTTTTATTCAAGATGTATTTGCAATTTTCCTATCCTTCACAGGGATTTCAGTAGATAACCAGTCACTTAAAGTGGACAAATTCTAAAATCCCTGGTCTGTGGTCTGTGTTTTTTTTTCATGATTTAGTCCACTAACCACTGATTTTTAGGTCAGCTCAATGCAGTTATCCTAAAAAGACTTAAAAATAAGGAACAAACAAAAATGTTGAAGTAAATGAAATAAGTAGCACTACTGAGCCATACACCTATAGTCATCAGACAAGTCCACTAGCCTGAGGCCCAGCAAGCCCTGGACCCCTTCTTGCTACTATACACAGAGTCTTATGTTTCAGAGCTCATCAGTCAGCAGTCAGGGGAAGAGAAGGACAGACACACTGTTTGCTAAATGTGACACCACCTGAATTCAGTGACTGGGGATCACAGGGACAAATCTTGAGCCAGGCACTAATGTTGAAGAGGCAGCTACTCAGTACGTGGTATACTGACACCATGATGCTTTGAGGCTGAAGTTTCTGACACTGCGACATTCTGAACTGTCAGCTTCTGAAATTATTAGCAAGCATCCCATGCAGTGGATACCCTCCCTTTATCTCTGAGCCTTCTCTGATCCCATCATTAATTTCATTTCTATTTCTGAGTGAAACCCACACCTTGACCTCTAGCCATCAGTCTGGCCCATGCTGAATTTCAGATGTCTGAAGGATACTAATACTGCATAGAAATAAGCGTTAGATGGTGAGCTATGTGAGTCAAATGCTTCCAAAGGACATTGGGGGCAGGAGAGTTCAGGCATAAATGTCTAAGTCACCTGGGGAAGAAGTGTGAGAAGAAGCTGGGAGCTAAGGAAAGCCTCATGGAGCACCACCGTGCTGAATGGGTGTACAAGAGGAAAGGAACTTGCAAAAGAGCTGAGGAGGGGAGAGAGGGAACAAGAATACCATGCTGCAAAGTGATAACACAATATAAGCACTAAAAGGGGATGATGGAGTTTATAACTCCCTGAATCGTAAAAAACCAGCTGGTTATTGTGGCTTAGAAGAGCAGTTAAAAATGTGGAAATAGGGTTTCCCTGGTGGCGCAGTGGTTGAGAGTCCGCCTGCCGATGCAGGGGACACGGGTTCGTGCCCCGGTCCGGGAAGATCCCACATGCCGCGGAGCGGCTGGGCCCGTGAGCCATGGCCGCTGAGCCTGCGCGTCCGGAGCCTGTGCTCCGCAACAGGAAAGGCCACAACAGTGAGAGGCCCGCGTACCGCAAAAAAAATAAAATAAAATAAAATAAAATGTGGAAATAGGGTCATCTTTCCCCTCTTTTCCCTTTCCTCCATGGAACCCAATGTCCAGTCTCCCCACTGGCCTAAGTGCCACACCTGCTCTGCTCCTTCTACTGATGTGGCACGAAGCTCACTTGTACTGAGACAGCAAAGAAGTCTCATGGCACTGAATTTCTATTAAAATCTGGCTTAATATATCCTTGCATAATAGTGATGTTCAAAATAATATTTGTAAGTTTTCCCATTTTGTTATTTTCCAAAGTATTTCAGCAATTTCACTAAAAATGTTAGCCTTCAAGAAAACACCTTAATGATTTGATCGGCAAACATAATTGAGCATATCCTATAAGCGAGTACTGGTGATCAAGCAGGGAGTAACACAGAAAATGTTTCTGCCCTCATGGAACTTACATTCTAGGTAAAGAGAGCAGATTATAAACATACAAGAACACTTGTCAGGTAGTGATAAGTCTATGAAGGCAACTGAAGCAAGGAAAAGGGTCTGAGAGTCACAGTAGGGGGCCATTTCAGATTGGGGGGTCAGCTCTGAGTACGTGTCCTTTGATCAGAGTTCAATGAAATGAGGAGTTCACAGTGTGAATATCTGGAGGAAGAGCAGTCAGGCCTGAGATAATGTAATGTCCCTGAATTCAGGCAAGTTTGAGGACCAGCGAGAAGGCTAGTGATCATACAAGTACACTTCCATGACAAGGATGGGTGCAATTACCAATATGTTTACCAGTAGCCAATTGTTATCTACATTCAACAAGGTTAGAAAGGCAGTAAAGGCAGACAACTTCTTCCTCCTTTTTATATCTACTTACCTTACTAGCAGTTTTTTTTTTTTTTTTACGGTACGCGGGCCTCTCACTGTTGTGGCCTCTCCCGCTGCAGAGCACAGGCTCCGGACGCGCAGGCTCAGCGGCCATGGCTCACGGGCCCAGCCGCTCCGCGGCATGTGGGATCCTGCCAGACCAGGGCACGAACCCGTGTCCCTGCATCGGCAGGCGGACTCTCAACCACTGCACAACCAGGGAAGCCCCTTACTAGCAATTCTTGTGTGTGTGTGTGTTGGGGGGAAACAACAGAGGGGGTAAAGGAAATTGTCATTCAACTTCTCTTTTTACCATACATGCCCTCCATTCTCCATCCCGCTCCTATTTCCTATTCTCGTTTCTCTCTCTCCTTCTCTCATTTCCCCCACTCTTCTCCTCCTCCTCTTCTCTATCTTCGTCCCCACCTCCCCTTTCAAATTTCTATCTTCCATCTGCATCCTTTACAATATTTCTGTACCTTCTTAAAATCTCAAAAGTGAAAATCGTCCTTGAGAGATAAAAAGATTGTTTACATCGGCTGAGAATAGCAGTTTGCATTTGAGTTAGATTATTAGCAAAATTAACCACATGTACCACAATTAAAAGAGGAAGGAAGTTGGGGGTGGGGAAAAAGACCCAGTAGCGTCAAATATAATGAGCGCGGCTTTACGAGGTACTCACAGAAATGTCGGCATGTTCACACCGGGTGACTCGTAGCTAGTCTCTGCAGGGTTTCATGGCCAATATCCAGCAACAAGGAGCACCAGGCTCCTTGCCCCGGCGCTCACGCCTGCAACTTGCCAAGTTTCACTTCAGTCTGACTTAACACTTCATCATAAAGGTAATAATAATATACCCCAATAAGAGGGTAGAGTAATATACTCCAACCCACTATTGATCTCACAGCAAATGGGCCCTTGCTCAGCTCACTGAGAAGCCTTGCTTTCCCACCTCCCGATGAATGCTCAGACCAGACTGGTAAGGCGGCTCCTCCAGTGCCCACCTGTGGCTACTCACCTCCACAGGGAGTCTCGTGATCCCTTTAGATAATACCACTTCAGCTGTTCTGGATTAAACCCCCTCTTCGTTCCAGCCTGATTCCCACCATCCTACCAAGACACAGATACTCTCTGGTGGTGTTTCTGGCAGGTAATTTTCAGCTCCTATGATTGAGTACTAGGTAGGCATGGGTATAGATTACTCTAGCAAAAAACTTACTGTTTGGGACTTCAAAATGACCATGTGGTCCGGGACCAACATAAATGCTTGAGATCAACATAAATCCTTTTCTCCTCTAGAAAGTGAATAAGAGCCATTTCAAACCTTGCCAGGCTTTATGGACTTTCATTAATGAGTAGTAAGGTACTGAACATTCTTTACTGTCTTGAGCACTTCCATCTTGACCCTTTCCAGTTATTTCTCAACCTGGTAGCTCTTTTAAAAATGTAATGTTGTCACTCCTCTGCTTAAAATCATTTTTTAGATTCCACTTGCACCCACGTCAGAGTCCAAGCCACCTACCAAGACCTACGAGAAGCTGCGCTGTGTCTACTCTTCCCCCCTTTGCCAACACATCAGGTGTCACTTCAGCCCTCCCTCACCAAGCTCCAGCCACCATGGCTTTCTTTAGTTCCCAGAGCACCATACATTCTTTCATGCCTCAGATTCTTTCCATATGCTGGTTCCTTTCTTGCCCATCACCGCATTTACATAACCCCTTTCACCCTCAGGTCTCAGCTTAAGTGGGCCTTTAGAGAGGCCTCCTTAGGCCATCTTATTAAAATTCAAATCCTCTTCCCTACTGAACGAATGCCATTGTTCTCAAAAACAGAAAGCTTTTGGGCTTCCCTGGTGGCGCAGTGGTTGAGAGCCCACCTACCGATGCGGGGGACACGGGTTCGTGCCCCGGCATGCCGCGGAGCGGCTGGGCCCGTGAGCCATGGCCGCTGGGCCTGCGCATCCGGAGCCTGTGCTCCGCAACGGGAGAGGCCACGGCAGTGAGAGGCCCGTGTACCGCAAAAAAAAAAAACAAACAGAAAGCTTTTTTTTCTTCACAGCACCTACTATACCATTTTTAGTTGTATCACTCAGGGTCCACTTGGGGAAATGGAAACCATACCAGTTTGTCTGAAAAGGGAGGACCAAATATAAAGCATCAATTTAAAAAAAGTACTGGCAGACTGAAAAGACAAAAAGAGGACACTGAGGTACCAGAGAGATAGGAAATGCGGGAAATAGCCACCAGACCTAAGGCTGGGGATCATCAGAAACTAGGAGGAGGTGTCCTGCAGGGCTGGGACCCAGAGCTCAAGGTGCCGTTTGCTTCTTGCCGGTCCCTCAGGAGCTTGGAGGAGGGCCTGAGGGGCTGGTTCTCAGATACCAAGGAAAGGCTGCTGCTTGGCTGGTGCCGGCAACTCTGACAAGGTGCAAAGAAGCTGGTTCTGGGAGTGCTGGAAGAATTAGAAACTGCGAACAACCAGTGATGCTGGAGTAAGTTAAATGACAACAGTACCTTCTCAGAACAGCAAGGAGAATGAGAACGAGCAAGGCCCCTTTTCCTTCCTGTTTGTTGCCTACCATTCTTCCTCACTGCCTGCTATTGACAGATCCTAACGTGGATACACCTGGCAAAGGAAAAAGGTATTGATAGTTTGCAGAGTTGCAGCCTGAGCAATTTAGAGCAGCATATCCAAGGGTGGGTTTAGAGACAGCTTAATAAATAGCATAGTATTTGTTTGTTTTTTGTCTTTTCTTTCGTACTAGACAGAACATGTTCAGGACCCATGTCTTTCTTTTCACTATTTTACCCCGTCCATTTGTACAGCACAGTAAGAAGTAAATAGAAGGTACTCAATAAATATTCCTTGGATGGACGAATTTATTAGATTGTTTTCAAAAGGACTTAGTAAACTATACAGTTCAATTCTTGTCAACTGAATAATATTGAGTGCCTCACACAGCGTTCTAAGCATTGGAGCTAAAATATGAATATGAGACAGTTCCTGACTATTTAGTAGGGAATTTAAGACATCGTCATATGACACTAAATAATAAAATGCCATTGCAAACATTCATATGTTTAAACGCCCAAAGAATTGAATAGGCAGCCAAATCTATAGGAGATCAGGAAAAGAAAAAAGGCAAATGTAGGTTTGGAATGATTCAAGAGACTTGTGGAAGAAGTTATGATCTGAGGCAGGCTTAGGAGGGGGTGGACAAGCAAAGCTGTGGAGGAGGGATGGGTTCGGCAGGTTTTCAGATGATTCTGATGAAAACGAAGTGAGAGATTAGTAGAAGTCACTGGAAAAGTGAATTTGAACCAGCTGTGTAAAGTCATGAATTCTGGAGGTAGAATTATGAGTAGTATGTCTTTTACAAAGAGGCGACCTTAAGAGGTTATATGCAAAGGAGTGATGTGGCCGTTGGGAATATTTTCTGCAGATGAATCGGGCAACATCATGGGGATAGATGCAGCATCACTGATTATGTAGAAACTAGAGCCAGAAAGACTAGTTAGCAGACTGGGACAACAATCCTGGGCCAGAAAAGATGGTGGAGATAGAAAAAGAAGAAAAATATAACAAGTAATGTTCAGAAGGAAGAATCAGTAAGACATAATGCAGAATTAATCCAGGGCAAGGAGGGTGGAGAGGATAGCTAGAGTTAATCCACAGTGATACATGCAGAGAGGATTCGGAAGGGTGGAGATAAAACAGAGATCATTAAGTTTGAACAGAAGAACTTGATTAATAATGTTATCAGTACAATAAAAGTTCCAGAAAATATTTATCCTCCAATAACTAAACCCACATTTTGAAAAGTTAATAAGAATCCGGAAGAACATATATGTCTTCATCTTGAGGTTCTTCAGAAGTACCAGGCTTCTGGCGGGTATTATAGTCACATGGTGTCTCATTTCCATAGATGTGTTCCTTGAAATTGGTCTGCCAAGTGTTTTCATATACTCCCTTGTCTGTTTCTTCTTTAGCTTGGGGAGGACACGCTTCCACATTTTCATAGTTGCCATGTGTGTTAGTGTCCTCCCCAGCAGAGCTGTGGTCTTGGGTTTGAACTGAGATTTTATGCCTTGGGCCGATAACCTGGGAGCTCAAGGAGACTCTTTTACTTTGGTCTTTTCTCTTTTTTCTCCTTTGCAAAAACTTTGGTAAGGTAAGTTGCCTTGTATTATGCTGTTTCCAGTGCCAAACACACCCAATTCCACAGATCACCAACAGTAAAAGAAGGGAAATTCCTATGGAAACGGCCACTGAAGTATTTCCACAGCTTTTCAGCATTTCTGCACAGTATTGTTTCGTAGTATGGTGTAGCCCTTAATGAATTCACAGGTACAGTCCACTGTAATTCTTTGTAGGATATGGTCTGAAAGTAATTTTGGAAGTTCTTTTAGGCATTTCTGTTTCAGATATGAAAGAACATCATGGCAAAGTCCTGGTGTACACAGAGGAGAGGTGAGTAAACCTGATTTTGGAAGCTGGCTCTTGTTGTAGCTGATGATTATACAATTGTTGTTGTATAATTGCACCGTGTCGGGGGGATTTCATTCAACTCTGCTTCCTTTTCTATCAATGAATCACAAAATGAAACACAAATGAGTGGAAACTAATAGCAGAGCAGAAAACTCAAGGAAGGGAAGGTTGAACGATCTACCATCCACGTGCCTGCTGTAAATCAGAAACATTTTAATTGCGTATTTAGTACATAGCATAGTCAAAAATCTGCCAATTTCTACCACTACATTAAGCACCAGCATTTAGTGAGCTCTTCCTTCAGGGTAGAATACAGTACTAGCTGTTGCATTTAGTGATTTTTTGTTTTAATATAAAATACAGTACGAGCTGTTGTGTGTGTGTGTGTGTGTGTGTGTGGTGGGGGGAGAGTTAAAAGAACCTGTCTCTGCTGAAGCCTGAGTGGTTTTATCACTTAGATTTCAACATGGTTTTTGACCATAAGGCTAATAATTTTCAAGAGAAAGATAATGCTTCAAACACAATAGGAGCAAAGAGATAAGAGTATAGATGTGCAATCATTTCCATTACCCATCACCTCCTCTGTGAAACCTTGCCTGTCCCTCTTTGTAATGATCTGGGACCATGTCTTTTCCTTAATCACACATTCCTCTGTATCCCCATATTAATGAGTCAGTTCTCTATTATAGTATGGCAATCTAAATTACAGGAAATTGTTTTCCTATCTGGTTAAACGGTGGACAAGGGATCAGGTCTTTTCCTCTGAATACTCCTAGAGAAAAGCGTAACACCTAGTACAAAAAAGACACTCAGTCAATATTTATTGAATAAATGATTAAATAAACATAGGACTCCAAATCTAAGCATCTAATTGTTTAAGTTCACAGTTTAAAACTCGAGACATGTCTTCTAAAAGGTGCAGTGTATACTTAAAAAAAGAAAAGAGCTCTTTGATGTAACACAAAATACCTAAAAACAAAATATTTAAAACAAAATTTGAAAGACTTCCTCTCACTAGTCTTCTCACAACTTCCAGCAAATAACTTCCGTTTAATTAAGATAATTTTAGAGTGCTACCTGTTGATGCTTTAAAATGGCAAAGAGGAGAGAAAAATGGAAGTGTTCAACTCGGCTGAGTGTTCTATTATGATTTTATCAACAAAATATTATTACTGTATGTTTTTAGCCTAGTCAAAGAAATACTTATACCCAATATTGTTTTCATTATTGTTGTTGTTTTCTTCCAGTTTTATTGAGATATAATTGATATATACCACTGTATCAGTTTACGGTGTACAACATGATGATTTGATATATGTGTGTATTGTGAATTGATCAAAACACTAAAAATAGTTAATATGCATCAGCTCAGTTACAATTTTTTTTCTTGTAATGAGAACTTTACGATCTACTCTCTTAGCAACTTTCAAATAAATAATACAGTATTGTTAACCATAGTCATCCAATTTCATAGTGCTTATGAGATGATTGTCATGATCCACTGAATGTCATCATCAATAATATTTAGTTATTTGGGGTCAGCTTCTAAACACTTTTACATGGATTATCTCATTTAATCCTACTATGCACAGCTGTCATGTTAAATAGATACTACTGTTATGCCCATTTTATATGTGAGAAAAGAGAGGATTAAAAAAGTTAAGTAACTTCTTTAATGACTAAGAAGTGATTAAATCTGGATTCAAGTAAAAATTTCCCCCAAATATTATTCCTACTCACATTTCTATGAATGTCTATCAAGCACATCCATTGCTAAATTTTTATAGACGATTAGCTCTGAGGTTCTTGAGTGTTCGGAATCATATCTTATTCATCTTTATATTACCAGCAGCAGTACTAGACACAGAATAGCTAGCTTGCTAAATATGTGTTAATGAAGGGAGCAACCTGCATTAGGATAAAAATAGTCATGATAAACAGGAAAAAAGAAACCCCATGAAATTGTGCCCTGCTCTCAGTAGGAACTCATGTACAACAGTGAACTTTTCTAAATTTGTTCAAGGTTAGAATACATCAATGTGCAAATTTTCAATTGGCATTTCACATAAAATATGAAATTAAATAGGAGATGCAGTTAACTCATAACATTTATTTGATAAAACTATAGGGACAGACACCCCAGACTGCAACATCTTTTACTCTCTTTGGAACTTTTGTAGGTTCCCTCCTTTAAAAGGCCAGACACAGTGCTTGTGTTCAAAGGCAAAGGTTTGGCAAGTGACTTTAACCATTCGGAGCCCACTTCCTTTTTTTTGCAGCAGTTGAGAACTGACCATATGTAAGATATTTCATGGTATAAATGATTACTCATTTAAGTAAATATTTGCCAGCATATTTGAACTAAATTTCACATATTGATTGAAATTAATCAGCTTTTTAAAAGCTGCCAGGATTGCAACAGCAGTGAGGAAGGCTAACTACTGTCCTCTGAGGATAAGGTAAGAAATTGCTCTCTGGATTTTCGAGAGGAGAATTTATTTTTAACCATCTGTGTTCTTCTATGTAGACATTCCAGTACATTCCCAATATTTTTTTTTTTTTTTTTTTTTTTTGCGGTTCGCGGGCCTCTCACTTTTTTGGCCTCTCCCATTGCGGAGCACAGGCTCCGGACGCGCAGGCTCAGCGGCCATGGCTCACGGGCCCAGCCGCTCCGCGGCATGTGGGATCTTCCCGGACCGGGGCACGAACCCCCGTCCCCTGCATCGGCAGGCGGACTCTCAACCACTGCGCCACCAGAGAAGCCCTACATTCCCAATATTAAAGCTGTTTGTCAAAGTAGTGTTCTCTGAGATAAAGACAAGGAGACATTTTACAGGAAAATAAATGCATCTGTCCTCTTTCTTCAAAATAACAATAGGAAAAACCCTGCAAGACATGAATAAAGACCTACTAGAATGGGATACATATGTTAAACAAGAGTCCTTCAAATATAACTTATAGGTTTCACTTTGCCCAATTTGAAAGAAGACTGCTTCTGTTTTGGAAGACAATTCCAACAGGTTACCTAACAATTATTTGTCTTAAGACCACAAATTGTTGACAAACTTCTGAAATTTTCAGTCAGATACTGCCCTTCTGTTTGAAACCAAGGCAACAACAAAGCATACTCTTATCCTTGTGAGGCTCTATACTAGTAAAGAAACATTAACCTCACTCTCAATTTGTAAAGTGGTTTTTCAACGTATGGCCACCTAATTCTACAAACTGTGTTTGATAAGATAAAAAGCCATTGATTATTTAAAATGAACTAGTTTTTATAGTTTTCATTTCACACAAACACCTTAAAGCAGGTCTTACTTACCTTAAGATTGGTATGCCGAGCTTTCTTTTGTTCTTTTGGTTATGTTTTAAACCCGCTTTTGTTTAGAACTTGTTCCTCTTTTTCATGTAGGTCGGTTACTTCCTTCTTTACTCCCTCCTTTCAGATCATTTCATACTTGCAAAGTTTCCTGGCTCTAGAGGAAGTTCTCATCAGATGCACAAGAATTAAGATAAACTGCACGAGTTTTTGAGTAAGGAAGTCCAGCCCTTCATCTTTACCCAGTAATAATTCTCCAACTATATCAGAAAATGATGCATAAAGCCTAGGTGGTGTTTTTATTTGAGCAATATTTGCAGTCTCCACTTTATTTTTGTTTCTTTTAAACATCAGAAATTTATTCTCTCACATTATGGAGGCCAGAAGTCCAAAATCAAGGGGTGGGCAGGGGCGGTACTTCTGGACACCCCAGGGGGAAGTCCATCCAGGCCTCTCTCCCAGCTTCTGGTGCTTCCTGGCGATCCCCGGTGTTCCTCATCTTGTGGACACATCACCCCCATCTCTGCTCCATTGTCTCATGGCTTCTCCTCTTGTCTTTTCCTCTATGTATCTCTTGTAAGGTCACTGTCATTGGATGTAGGACCACCCAGATAATCCAGGGTGATCTTTTCACAGACCCTTCATTTAATGACACCTGCAAAGACCCTACTTCCAAATAAGGTCCTGTTCACAGCTTCCAGGAATTAGGATTTGGATGGCTCTTTTAGGGGCTTGGGGGGGGGGGTCACCATTCAACCTACTACAATACCTAAAAGAGTGTGCATTTTACCTTTTAATTTTTATAACTTTTTTTTTTTGCGGTACGCGGGTCTCTCACTGTTGTGGCCTCTCCCGTTGCTGAGCACAGGCTCCGGACGCGCAGGCTCAGCGGCCATGGCTCACGGGTCCAGCCACTCCGCGGCACATGGGATCTTCCCGGACCGGGGCACGAACCCGTGTCCCCCCCCCATCGGCAGGTGGACTCTCAACCACTGCGCCACCAGGGAAGCCCAAATTTTTATAACTTTTAAAAGTTTAATTCTGTGTGTAATCTTCAGGCAGTCCTCACTTGAGAATAAATAAGTCATTTTATTTGTACTTTAAAATTTTTAAAAAGAAGTATTTTAAAATGTAGTAATGCATAGGTCTTTATTTATTTGCTTGTATGTTAGAACAGTCCTTGTTCCAAGTACTATGTCCCAGTGCCCCAGGTTACATCTACACATGTCAAACCAGTGTCCCAATTTTTGTTCAGAATATGCTAATATTCTTTTAAATTAAATTGATAAGACGGGATTTCCTAAAGTATATTCCAAAGTGTACTACTTCTGGAATTTTCTAGTAGAAGTTTCATCAAGTAAATTTGGAAAGTACTGCTTACCTGGAGACTCATAGGCACTCAGCATACTAAAAGCTATGAGCAGTCCTACAGCAAGCAAACAAAACAAAACAAAACCAAACACGAAAGAAAAACTGTTTCACTTCATTTAATAATAGTCGCCAGCATTTTCTGAGCACTACTATGTATTTAAAGCCTTTGTGTGCTACTCAGTAAATCCTGACAACAGCTTGATAGGAGAGGACTCTATGCGTCCTTTCTTACAGAGGAGGGGAGGAAGGCTGAGTGGTGAGGTACTCACTCCCCCGTGTGCCTGGCAGTTTGCTTCCATCACCTGTGTGCTAAAGTCACCATACTAGCTGTCTCGCTAGGCTGAAGGACAAGTCTCCGTCACGGAACCCTTATCTAACAGCATCTCTCAGAGGACAACTCTGCGGAATACCAAAATGGGAAATGCTGAATTAGACAGACAAGATGATAAAGTAACGGAAATTTTGCCTTTTATGTTGTACTGGAACTTTTTCAAGCACAGGGGATGAACTTTGCATGAGGCAGTTTAAAAGAAGATTTAGTGGGCTTCCCTGCTGGTGCAGTGGTTGAGAGTCCGCCTGCCGATGCAGGGGACGCGGGTTCGTGCCCCGGTCCGGGAGGATCCCACATGCCGCGGAGCGGCTGGGCCCGTGAGCCATGGCCGCTGAGCCTGCGCGTCCGGAGCCTGTGCTCCGCAACGGGAGAGGCCACAACAGTGAGAGGCCCGCGTACCGCAAAAAAAAATATAAATACATAAATAAATAAAAGATTTATTTACTGCAATACCAATTGGACATTCGAAGAACAATATTGTCAATATTGACTGGACACTGACACCGTGCCAGGCATTATGCTAAGCAATGGGGATGCAATAGTGAACAAACTCCCTTGCAGCACCTAAAGCCTAGTGAAGAGGTTGTACCCACAGATCTTTTCAGGTCAAGACAGTAGGAGCTAAGAAAGACACCGTTATGCACAGGGAACAGTGGGAGCGAGGAAAAGAGACACCAGCTCACAGCTGGTGAAGTGAAGGGAAGACATGAGCAAAGCCTCACAGAGCACGAAGGAGATAAGCAAGGCAGAATAGGAGTGTTCTAGGCAAAGATCTCGGAGTGAAGGAGGTTATGAAGTTGTGAAGCTTGAAATGTGAATTCAATCTTCAGTCTACCAATATTTTAACTGCAACATTAGCCACCCTTCCAAGTAATAATACACACACACACACACACACACACACACACACACATGCATACAATCTGCAAGTAATGTAATAAATACAATATTCATGTGAGATTATACAGTCTACTCTAGAACTCAGGACAACTGGAAGTTCATCTGGATTTTGCTGTTTGAACTTAGGAAAGTTTTAATCCTTTATCACTTTCGTTTTTCTAAAGATAAATAAAATGAAGGGATATTCCCTGGCCTTTTTCTCTAGATATGATTTATTTTTAAGTAATAGATATAACCATTCTTTGAATTTACAGAAGAGATGCTATATATATTTTTTCAAAATAGAATTATTGTATAATCATCATTTGTATGGATCAGATATTATGTCTTGAGTTCTGTTTTCCTACCTTCCTATCTTTGGCCTAGCAAGACACATTTTTATTGTCTTCTTACAGTTCCCTTTTTAATCATAGCAATTATAGTTAGGCTTTCTTTTCCTGCTTTTCCTTCCACCATGTCGTTTGGGTAGCAGAGGGCGTGGGAGGTAAATTGTTCTCTAGTGTAATTTGGACTGAATAGTTTATCCAGATAATCTTTCTTCTATTATTTGATGACTAACAACCAATTTACTTAACTGTGATTAAAATTCCTAGCAATTTCTTTTGTGTCAGTTAATACCTATTTATTTTAACCATGTACTTTTTCAGATACTTGAACTGAGTAATATTGGTGATGACAGATGTGGAAAAATGTTTGTGAATGTGGATTTGATTTGAAAGCATGACTGACTAAAAACATCTTCCTGGATATTCTGTCGGGAGCCCCCAAAGTCCATGCTACTGGTTAAAGGCATTATGGAAGCAAACATTTTAGCATAAGACATTATGTTGCCTGGGAAAGGTAGCATATTATTAGCTAGCAAATTCATTAATACTGATGGGTTTATGGGATTAGCCAAAAAGCAGCTAGAGCTTTAATGGAATGAGTCACTGCCTTTCAACTAGTAAAGTTTCACTGTGTGGGCCAAGAAGTTAAGAAAATTTTAAAGTGAGGAAATTGAGGAGTTGAAGGTGAGGCGAGAAGGCATGAATAAGAAGAGGTCAAAATAGAACCACTGTTGCTTTAGTTATGCTTAGTGTCAATCCTGTTAGCAGCTGGCAAACTTAAATCATATAATTTTGAGGGGACAGGAATGGATTTTACTGGTAGAGATGTGAGATATTATTTAGTCAAGGAATTCATTCCCAAACCTGAAAGTCTATCAAGGTCACTTATGAGGGGCTTCCCTGGTGGCGCAGTGGTTGAGAGTCCGCCTGCTGATGCAGGGGACACGGGTTTGTGCCCCGGTCCGGGAAGATCCCACATGCCGCAGGGCGGCTGGGCCCATAAGCCATGGCCACTGTGCGTCCGGAGCCTGTACTCCGCAACGGGAGAGGCCACAACAGTGAGAGGCCCGCGTACCATAAAAAAAAAAAAAAAAGATCACTTATGAAACTTAAAAAAAAATAGAAATTCATAGGACCCTGGGGATTCTGCTTCATTATGTCTGGAGTCAGGCCCAGGGAACTTCATTTTAAAAGTTAAGAACAATACCAAGGAATTTCTGAGTTAGAGGAATAAGGGATTGCACAGACTGTGTTGGGGAGAGGAATTTTTACTTTTGATTTTACAGTCTTTTATACTTTTTGATCTTTTTTCATAAACATGTACCACTTTCATAAGAAAAAGGAACATTGACATCTCAGATGATTTTGAATTGTGGCCAGGTTTGGGAACTATTGATATAATTGAACCCTCTGAGGGTCAGAGAAGTGATGTGATTTACTCCACAGAAAGTAGAAATCTAGACCAGATATCAAAACAGTCTCCTGATTCTGATCTAGTAATTTTCCTCTATACTATGCCACCTCCGTGAGGAATAGATAAAAAGAAAGTCCCTAGATGTCCCCTTCAAGAGTCTATCTGTTTTTCTCTCCTTACATTAAGTCAGAATATATATGACAGGAAGTTAGAGATAAGAAAATGAGAGAGCAAAATCCATCAGGGATGCCATAGGTAGTGAACCATGAAAGATGTTACTCTATTGGTGGACCATTTTAAACTATGAAATCTGCCACCTGAAACACTTGTCAGGACTAAAGAGACGCATATTGTTATGGTTCATTTAACAACTTAGAAAGGTTAGATTATGGTCAAGGGCTAAAAAAAGAAGACATTGAAAGAAAAACAAAGTAAAAAGACCTAGGAATTGCACTCTTATGTATATACTCAACAAAAATGAAGGCTGTTTCTGATTATGACTGCTTTCTTCATATTGTGCCAAAGCTCTAGAAACATTCCAAATGTCCATCAACAATACAGTGGGTAAATGGAGCATGGTAAATCCACACAATGGAGTACTACACAACAATGGAAACAGCCAAGTTACTGATATGCACAAAAACATGGATGAATCTTACAAACTTAATATATAATTAAAGAAGCTATGCACAAAAGAGTACATGTTTTATGATTCCACTCCTGAAATCATGTAAAGCTTTCTACAACCATATAATGGTAGAAGTCGGAAGAAAGGTGATTATTATAGACTGGGAGGTATATAAGGGAGCCGTCTCAGATGCTAGAAAATGTTCTATATCTATGTATCTATGTATAACGTATACATAGATACGTTAGACGTATCTATGTAAGACGTATCTATGTATAACCATTCATCAAGCTGTCCATTTCAGATTTATGCACTACATTATGTAATTGTATCTTGATTAAAAAAAAGAAACTGGAGATGAAGAGTAAGACAATACCTTTCAAAGTCATGACAAATTGAGGTAACTAGATATATGTTTTTATTCATTCAGATTACCATCTTCTTTGGTAAACTGATCTACTAATTTGGGAGGGGAAATTTTGCTAAATTGCAGGTAGACTTTGAGCTGGATAACTTTATCTGGAGCTTCCTGAGCCTGAAGGTTGGTAAAGGCTGGTGGTAAGAAGGATGGGAGTTATTAATGAACCTTGAGCTTCCACCCAGTCAAAGCAGGGAATTTCTACTTTCTGAGATTATGAATATGGTCTTTCATTGGCACACCTTGACTTACTTAAGGGATGTGT